ACATTGATAAGTAAAGTTATCAATGTTAAAACTATTTAATAATAGAGCAAATCTTTGTTTGTTCAATTACAAATTATATGCTTATGTGGTGCTATAATTCTTGAAAAAAAAAACATTCGAATAATTGACTTTTAAAAAATATTGTAATTATTAACTTTTTTTTTTTTCAATTTATAATTAATAAATAATAAAAACTTACATCTGATAAATTCTTTGAACCCAGGACCTTTTCAGTATTTGCATCTATAGCTCTAGCTTCTTTTTCAAGGTCAGCTAATTTATTTTTCAATTCTTGAGGAACTTCATTACTATCACTTTTATCAAGCTCTTTTATTTGTTTTTCTAATTCCGATTGTTGTTTTTGAAGTGCATTACTTAAAGAGTTATTTTCGGTTAGTTGGTCCTGAAGTTGTTTTTTTAATGCAGCCATTGATTGTGCATTGCTAATATATAAAGATCGTCGTGGTGTCGGAGGAGACGATACCGTTATTTCAGGGTCAGAGCCACGACCTTCGGAGTTAGTTAATCTAGCTCTCGGAGTAGCGGAGGATAAGTTGTTATCGTTATTGTCTATATTATCTGCCATTTTTTTTTTGTTCTGTTTAGATTGAATTGATTATGACGGGGTTTAAAGAAAAAAATAAATACAAAAATAGGAAGGTAATAATGAATGAATGTATATTATAGATTAGACCAGCCAATTGTAATATTAATATGCCTATGCTTATTAGCAAGGATAATAATGTAAGGGTCTAACACTTCATGATTAGAAGGTTAGATTTTAAATAAATTTTGCTGACTCTTCTTTTGGTGGTAGTAAGTTTATTATTAACACACTACCTAACTTTATATAATTATTTTTGTTATTAATTTCTAAGAATTTCTTCCAAAGAAAGGTAATTAAAATTAATACTAAAAAAAAAAAAAACCTACTACTTATTCTTTCAACAGATATTAATTTTTTTTTTTGTAACGAATAGATTTTAAACAAATTATATTATGAAGAATAATATAATATACAACCAAAAAGAAAAAAAAAGCAAATGATAAGAAATTTAAAGGAAAGAAAAAGGCAGAAAATATATATTTAATAAAGATGCCGTTGTATCAGCTTTTTTTAGGAAGAAGCGGTAAACAGCGTACAAAAGTAATAATTTAGTTGGTAACCGTCTGATTACAGGATTAGCAAAAAGTTAGTGTGATTTGTGTATCATCACATGAATAGCTTACTTCTCCAATGCTATACGTATAGACGACGTTCGCGCACTGTAAATTATGCAATAACGATAATGATAAATACCGTAATTTAGCCCTTCTTGAACAGATAATTAATAGAAAGAAACGTGTATTTGAAAGAAATTACAAAAAAGTTTGAACATAGCAATCTCTAGTGTATAGTGACCTTTGATTGTATTAAAGGCTACAAAGAGGCAAAGAAAAAGTTAGAAAACAAGAAAGAAGAATATGAACAAGCTAATCTCCTTCTAGAGGTAAATGAAGAACAAGAAGAACTGAATAAAATAGCAGGAAATCAATATATAAGAAATTTAGCTCAAGAGGGCCAAGAAACAAAAAGGAAAAGAGAAGCATAA